ATATTTGGGGGATTATGTTTTGTGAGCGATCTCACAAAAGCCAACAATTCATAAGAATAAGAAAGCTTTGATTCATATAGCATGGAAAAATGTTTCCAAAGTGGGCAATGGAAACTTGCCACTGAGGCTTAAATTTAGAAATGGAATTTTTTTCAAACACTTTAGTGGCCACATGAAGCCAATCAGGAAAGCAATGGGTTTTTTTGTGTCTTTTTGTTTGTTTGTTTGTTTATTCTTGGTTTTGGGCTTTTTTCTTAAATTTTACAGCAAGTCAGGAATCACTAAACAGGAAAAAAAAAGTTATGGGAAAGAATTAGAAACTCTTTGTGTATTTTTTTCCTAATTTGACGTCATCTTAAATTAGAGTCAAATACGTATTGAAAACGGGACAGTACATAGGCCATTCATTCTCCGGAATGTCTGTACTTCACCTAGGATGATGAGGGCAGCAGTTGCCAGCAAAGAAACTTAAGAAGGGAGAAACTCCCTAAGACTTGTACAGGGAAGTTCTACAGGTTATATGGGATCCCTCAGTAGGGATCCCTTGGGTTTCAACTCATCAGTCTAAAAAATCTGGAACTATGTGTTTTGCATGTGTGTGTATGTTAGCGTGTCTTTCATTGAACGATATTTACCATATGTTCAGTGACTCAAGCCAGCAGGCTGGGCACCATCATCCTGTCTTGGAGTTCACTCCTTGGTGACTTACAGATGGCAACTGCACCACCTAGAGTTGTCACACAAAGGAAACTGTATTTGTAGCAAAGAAGGAGATCACGACGAATAATTTCCAAACCTGTGACTCCCCAAACAGGAGGAGAGGTGTTCCTCTTATTTAGGGTTACGGAGAATATTCAAAAAGGAGAACTCTGTCATCACAGGTAAAGGCTTGCTCAGGTGTACTTAGAAAACTTGCCTACACATGCATCGGCAGTTATGGTAATGAAGCTCGTGCTCCTCCTTGCGTGGAGACTGTGGCATCATAATGAGGCAGAGGTAACTGCTGGACAAAGGAAGGGGCTATGGGCAGGCTCCAGAATTGGTATATACTGGATAGGGTCTTGGGCCCTTATCTCAGATAAGGAATGCAGGATCTTGCTTGCCTTTGAAATAGCACTGAGAGTTTTTAACACTGATTGATTGTCTCTGATATGGTTAGGCTGTTTCCAGACCTGGTAGAGACTATTAGTTTTTGCATTCCTTTTTTTTTCCCTTGAAATTTTTATTCCCTCTACTGAGGGCTTTTGCATTTCTTTGTAATTCTGACACCTTCTAGGAAGTTCTGCCAGAAGTGTGTTTGGGCAAGTAGAGCTGAACGACTTCTCTCTAGTGTCATGAAAGCTGTGTTTCATTTTTCTTTTGCTGGGGACCCCTAACTTTTTCTGCTTACAATTTCCCTCTTCTCCGTCATCTACACCTTATTTGTAAATCCCGCAGATTCTATCTGCAAAATTATCTCATTTCATACATCTTTTTTCCCCAATTTCTGCTGTAACCACCCTACTTCAGATTGTCTCAAATTTACCATACCTATGTCAGAGAGATTGAACACACAGACACTGATCCGTGGTTTCTACCTGACTAAAACTTTCCAACCACCTATGAATATAATCAGGAGGTGCTGTGTGTGATATCTGACCCGTGATAGCTCTGCTTCCCATCTCAGGTGAGCCACTAATTTCACTTTCTCCTGAATCTCCAGCCACACTTTCTAGGTCTTTTACACCTGAGAGCCTATCTTCACCTCACCTGTTTCTTCTTCCTGGAATTCACCTCCCCATTCCACTTCTCCAGTTCTTAGCATGCCTTTCTCTTTTTAATCCTTCAAATTTAGCTTAAATATCAACTCAGGCCCCCATCCCATACTTACCAACACAACTCCCTGTTTATCGAATTCATAACTATTTTTTTTGTTTTGTCACTATATATTTTATTATTTCCTTACCTCTTTTTGTCTGCCTTTCCCTAATAAACCATGAGGTCTGTGAAAACAGGAGCCAAGTCTGCTCCTCCCAATACTCTTTCTTCATTACCTAGCATAGCACCTGACACACGTATACATATACCACATACTTAATAAATTTAAGTGAATTAACGAGTTGATGTAGGGCTTGGGGTTATTTTGTTCTGCAACAGAAATTTAAGCTGACTCTGAACAAAACTAAACATAAAACAGCTGATATTATTATATCTGTTTGGATATAAAGATTTGATTAGCATAGTTAGGTTTCTGTGCAAACACACCATCCAGGTGATGGTTTCTCATTGGAGATGATTGTCAATCTGGTATACCCATATCTTAGAGGTATTTTGCTAATTTCAGATTCCCTTTTCACTCAGTCTCCACAGAAGATACTACATTTTTAAATGCTTAGAACCTTAAAAAATCTTTCTCCTTCAGTGTCTTTTATTTTTTCATAATCAATATATGTGTCTAATAGTAGACGTGGCTACATTACTGCCAGAGGATTAAACTCTGGAATAAATTCTGAGGGATAAAAGAATGTTTAGAAGGCTGCAGTTAATGTCTTCTTAGTGGATAATGGCTTTTAGGTGCTAATTCTCCCCTGCGAGCAAGCATATCTGCCATTACTGTCAATGCGATTTATATATGCTTATTAAAGAAAGAATAGACTCTTGAACATGAGCCATAATGATTTTTCTTGTAACTGGGCCATGGTTGCTCCCAAACTGTTTTACTACCTTTTTATTATTTATGCTCTGCATACATATTATATTCCTTTGAGTAAAGGAAACAGACATTACTTGTTATTTTTACCACTAAACTTCTCAGTCCTGCTAAACAAAATGTGCTTCCCTATTTCAGAGCTATCAAGAACTTGACAGTTGAGATAATATTTAATTTTAAGTATTTTAAATTTGAGGAAGAGGGTTTGGAGGGTGGTATTTCCTTATTATCTCTTGGTTCACTAATGGAGCTTTTAAAGAAAAAAAAAGCATGACAGTTTCAGGCTTGGGATGGGTTCATTGAGTTAAGGCTCAAATTTTAATATAATGAAAAAAAATAAAAACACAAGGAAGTATAAAAGTCCAAGATATTTTTTTCAACTTTTTATATTCTTCCTACTATATACCTCATTAATTCGATGTTTCTTGTGTGATGTTTGAAAATTATTAAAGGCTCACTTTATTTGCTAACAACGCAGTAGTTCCCCACAGAATAGTATTGAGGTCATTGAACAAAAGAACTGGAGAAGGAGAGAGAAATGATGTCATACAAGAAACTAGAAATGTGAGGGATTTAATAGTATTTTTACATCAGGCAGACAAGAAGGAGGCATCATGAGGAGGAAGGAGGGGGAGAGACAATTATTTACAGTCACTTTTCTTCTATTAAAAAAAGTTTGTAGAGACAGAATCAGAAAAAGAATAGCTGAAAAGAGAACATGTCAAGGGATGGCAGCAATGCTGTTACCAGGATCAAGGACTAGTAAAGAGGTGTGGAAATTAAGTGGAATTAAGTACAGCTCAGGGGAGAGTTTTTTACACCAATGAGTTTATAAGCATCAAAATCAATTATGTATGTAGACAATTTTTCTCGCACAAGAAAAAGCATGCCTTTTATAATTCACTTACTGGCATTTCCTCAAAGTGCCATCTAATATTTTAACCATCTTGACTAAAGAAATGGAAATCTGTCAAACTGGTTGAGGGAGGCCCACAAAAATGGTTGTTCAATCTTCATTACACCTAGGAAGAAGGATCAGTGTGTTTTTTTCAGGGGCTGGTCCTGGGATCGGCTCTAATTAATATTTTCATTAATATCATGGATGATGGGATAGGGTAAGCTCGATAAATTTTCCAATTATGCCAGATTGAGTAGTGAAACTAGCACCTGGAAGAACTTGATGGCAATTTAAATAACCTTTTTGAGTTTCAGAAGAAAGCAAATGACAGTTTGATTAGACAAGAACAAGATGCTGGGAGTGAATCACTAGCATTGCTAAGAGTACTTTATGTTGCACCCTAGGAAACAGGTTCACATCTTTATTTATTTTACCTTCAGTAGAATAGATGGGTACAGTAATCATCTCAGAGGTAAAGATGGGATGAGGTTGGACTTTCATGGGTTTGACAGAGGAATTTGGTGGGATGCAGAGGCATGAGGGCTGAGTTGGAAAGTCAATCAAATACATCTTCAACCCAACTTCATTCTTGGGTGTTTAAAAAAAGATTGTGTTTTATGGTAATGTGGGCTAATTTTACTCATATTCTCAAAATTAAGCATGTCTTGATTTAGTGTAGTGGGCCCACTTCAGGCATCCAAAGCATAAGTGCAAGGAAAATGGCATGGGTTCAGAAGAGATCAACAGAAATCCTCCAGTGTCTGGGAGGCTAGTTCTAGCAAAGACTGTGAGCATCGTCCAGCACAGAAGAGGGAAGGTGAAAGTGCATATTTAACTTTAGACACATTTTTGTTGTTGTTTGTTGGAAGAATAGTCAGCACCCCTTCATTTTTTCTCTTGGGTATAGGAAAACATAGTCTTTTTTTTTTTTTTTATGAAGAACATTTCCTTATATATAAAGAAAAGCACATAATCACGAAGCTGGGATGTACCACTTGCTGATGGAATTATTTAGGACAATCATTGCTCATAATTCTTCCCTCTCTTTTCTGTCCTTCCTTCTTCCCTCCCTCCCTCCTGTCCTTTCTTTGTCCCCCCCCCCACCCCATTTCTTGCTTCCTTTGTTTCTTTCTCCTACTTTTAAAAAATTCTGCAATTTTGCCTAATGAAGGTGATTTTTGTTAAGGCTATAATTTGGACAGAGATTACAACCTGACCTAAGGAGGTTTTATTAAGTATCCAGCCTCATCTTTTAATATATCATTACCATGTTTTTACTATACGTAACTGAATTTCAAAGGGTATTTGAATCCTTGTATTTTAAAATGTGATGTTTCTCATGGAAATCTATATTTGGGAGTTTCTTTCAGATACAAAAAAATAATAATGATAATACATTCTCTTCCCTTTCAGGTCAAATGGCAGGCGACCACACAAGGCTGGAGTTCCATAACATAGAGACTGGCATCATCACAGAACGTCGGTATCTGTCTTCTGTCCCCTCCAACTTCATTGGACATCTGCAGAGCCTGACATTTAATGGAATGGCATACATTGACTTGTGTAAAAATGGTGATATAGATTACTGTGAGCTTAACGCCAGATTTGGCTTCAGGAACATCATAGCAGACCCTGTCACCTTCAAGACCAAATCGAGCTATGTTGCCTTAGCTACATTGCAAGCCTACACTTCTATGCATCTTTTTTTCCAGTTCAAGACAACATCCCTAGATGGACTAATTCTATATAATAGTGGGGATGGAAATGACTTTATTGTGGTCGAATTAGTTAAAGGGTGAGTATATGTCAGTTCAATGACAAATAAATAAATATTTGCAAAATGGACCTCAATATCCAAAAATCTACATTAAACAGATGTGTTGGCTTCTAAGGTAGTGGGCAGGGGTGTGGGGAAATGGCTTAAATAATGTATTTGTTCAAATCACTTCTTATCTTTATAAAGTTAATAGGAAATCAGTAGACTTTTCGATACCTACATATTCATATATAAAGTACAAGTAATACCAAGTTCTAATTACGATAAGCATTCCATGAATCATACACTTCAGATGTGGGTTTCTTACTATGCGCACTATAATTCTACAAAAGGTTTCTACAAATGTATAGAAATGTGTGCTAATTAAATATCTAATATTAAGTAATCAGATTACTTTAATTCCAAGAAATCCCATTTAACTCAAACTTAGTTCTACATCATACTTCCTTGAAAAATTTAAAAGGAAAGGTTTCTGTAAAATTTCCTTGAAACAGTGAGGAAATTTTGATGTATTGTAATTGATTTGGGTATGCATTCATCCAATCAGTGAATATTAAGTGAGCATATCTACAATGGACTGGAGAATGTACCAGGCACTAAAACAGGTGAACACATAAATATAACAGAAAAACATTATGAAAAGTTTCCTCAGATGATCATGTTCAAAGGTTCATGAGACTCTTTAGGGAAATTAAGAAAGTGTATGAGGCAGGGAGTGGATATCTGAACTGAGTCTTGAAGGATGAGTGCACATTTCCCACATAAGAAACAGGCATTCAAGACTAAGGGAAAGCAGGTGCAAGAAACTGGCAGAAAATGGAGGGTTTGGTGGGGATAGGGAGTGAGTAGTGAAAGGTATTTACCTGCCAGTGTCATAAAGTGGGATGTAGACCAGATGTTAAAAATAATTTTCACTATTTACTGTAACGCATATAATGAGTAATCCTCTGTGCTAAAATTAGAGTGTTTCTTACTTTCTTGTTAACTGATCCTCTGTACAACTCACTCTCAGACTACTGTCAAGGATGGAACCACATGAAAAAAGATCTCCATTTGTAATATTTAGTTGGACTCCATCAAAAATTCAAAAAGTGATGGCACTTTCTCAACCTTTGCTTTTTTCCCAGGTACTTACATTATGTGTTTGATTTGGGAAATGGTGCTAACCTCATCAAAGGGAGCTCAAATAAACCTCTCAATGACAATCAGTGGCACAATGTGATGATATCAAGGGACACCAGCAATCTCCACACTGTCAAGATTGATACGAAAATCACAACACAAATCACCGCAGGAGCCAGAAACTTGGACCTCAAAAGTAAGTGCACACTGAGTCATAGTAACAGGAACGGGCCCACAAGGGCCTCACTCACATGACAGATCCGTTGTTTTGGAGTGTGTGTATCTACTGTTTGCAAAGACTGACCAGAATTTCATTTCCGACACATAATAATAGAACACACAAGCCTCCGTTCCCCTTTAATGTGGCAGAAACATATGTATTTTTAATAGCTAAAAAAATGCAACCTCCTAGAATGCATGCATGATTAAAATTTAAAGAGAAAACATGTTCTTAGTCTTGATATTATAAAGACAAGTAGGTTGTTTGCAAGTTTCTTTAGTCCCTACAGTTTTTAATCTATTTGGGGTCAAGGTGACTAGATACCTAAGGAGTTTCTTCTAGAGCTTATTAGTTTTCTTTCCTTGGTGAGGTTTCCTAGACACTTTCAGAGCCTCTGACCAACAGGAGTCTGAGCCTGGCCTTTTACCCTTGTGTCTCCAGCAGTGAATTTGCGCCATCCCATTCCCAACACACACACACACACACACACACACACACACACACACACACACACAGAAATGCTTCTATCACCAGCTGCTAAAAAAGTTTAACAGACTTTTTCTTTCCGTATTGATACTTGATTTCTCAAGTGAGCAAGAAATGCTTAGAACACATGTCAGTAAGAGGAGAAAATAACAGAAGTTTCTATTTCAATGGGCCTTGATGATTCACTAAGAACATATCCATACACCCCATCTTATTTAACGTGACAACAAACATTGGAAGAGGTATTATTAGAATTTTATTATGAATGTAGGAAATCTGAGCTTTGAATGGCTTGCCCAGGGATAAAACAACTGCCTCCGTAGAGTAAATATAGCCTCACACCCCCTCCATTGTGGGGATGCACACCCCCTCCATTGCTTCTCTACCTTGAGGTATCCAAAGCCCTTCAGGGATCATTGTGGTCACATTTTTGCTTGACGAGAACTGTTCATTTCTATTGATGGGATCTTTTCCTTTTATTCAAAAACGTAAATACATAGGGAAGTTAGAGAACTGGAAAGAGAAAATCTAAGACAACTCTTTCCAGAGAAGAATACTCTTTCTAAATAAGGTGAAAGAAGAAAGAAAAATGTTTCATGTCCTGTAATTGCAGAATATATTTACAATCCCAGGACTATATTTGTCCAACACCTAAAATGTGTGATAATGGCTGTCTTCCTTCTTTCAGGGTGGGCCTCCTGTTAACTTCAAAGCAATCCTGTTTGTGTCCACACACCTAATAGCTTAGCTCAGGAAGGAAAATGAAATTCAAAGGAAATGCTGTTTAACAGGCTAAAGCTCTTTCTCTTTCTTCTCTCTGAGGTGAATGGAGTAAATTTTCTTTATTTTCGTATTTCGTGAGTCCCCGTGTCTCGCACAGTGGGTTGAGATGATAATTGTCAAGGGAAAGGGAGAGATTGTGACATTTGGTGTGCTGGCCATGTCAGCCACCAAAGCTAAAACAAAATGGTGTCCTGTTTGTGGAGGGGGAGACCTCAGTAAGCAGAAATGAATGTCATTAGAACCCGTAGACACTGCATGGGACACTTAAGTGGCTGGGAAAGAAGCAGTTCATCTTTGACTGAAGTATGTGACATGCACAGACACATTGAGGATATAGAGAAGTAGTGCAAGGCAGTGGGTTATGTCTCACTGGATAATTAGGACACTGTCTTCTGAAGTAAATATTTGCTTTTTGTTCATTTAGAGATGGAAGTGAGGGTAACAGGAGGTTGTGGTATAGCTTTCTTTCTGGTGGTGAAGGGGACCTTTACAAATATAAGTGACCCTCAGAGCTGATTCTTATTAAAACATTCAGTGTTTCGTAATTCTGAATGTAAGAAAGGCTTTATCCACAATTCAAAAACTAAAACTGAGAATTAAAAATAGCATTTTATATAATATTAAGGTACTAAGTATTGAATTCTGAGTGCATCCATTTAAAAAAAAAACCACTATTTAAATTTGAAGTTTATTTCCTAGGTAAATAGAGATTCTATAATAATGGTGAATCCACCTCCCTTTAGCTCGGAAAGTTCCTGTGTGTTTACAGATTTATCAGACTATGCCAAAAAGTGAAAGCAAGTTCCTGAAATTAAAAATTAAACATTAAAAGCCAAAGCTGTTGGCTTATAAATTGAATGTGTGATCTCATGGCAATGATAACCCCAACAAAGCCCTCTTGCCATATGTGCCACTGACCAGGAGCTTAAAAAAAAAAAAAGAGGGTGGTCGTGTGGCAACACTTCTCCTAGTTTCCATCATTACCAGCTTTTGGTGTGTGTGGTGAGAGGCACTGGCCAGGTGAGGAGTATTTATTGAGCACCTCCTCTGTGCGGAGTGGAGAGTGCATTTTTGAAGAGGAAGAGAGAGTTCCTGTCCTGAAAAGCCTTCTGTACTATGATTCACATTGACTTGGGGCATTTACAGGGCAGAGAAGAACAGGACACCCTGAAGCCACCTCAGGACATTAAAACAAATCTGGTGGCATTAGAAAAAGTTTTAGAGGAAGGTACGTTTAAGGGATTTCATAAGGATGATTAAAACCACAAGGCAGGGATCCCTGGGTGGCGCAGCGGTTTGGCGCCTGCCTTTGGCCCAGGGCGCGATCCTGGAGACCCGGGATCGAGTCCCACATCGGGCTCCCAGTGCATGGAGCCTGCTTCTCCCTCTGCCTGTGTCTCTGCCTCTCTCTCTCTCTGTGACTATCATAAATAAATAAATAATAAAAAAAAAAAATTAAAAAAAAAAAAAAAAAAAAAAAAAACACAAGGCATTTTCTCTTTCCTACCCGGATGCCCACTGGAATCAGGGAGGGCTCACTGATATAGGAGAACATCTACAGGAACTCTTCACTCAGAATTGAACAGCATTGTTTTCTTGGCAGGCTGGTCCCGGAGATTTCAGATGCTCTAAATACAGGAAAAATGAAAGGTGACCTATTTTGGTCGATGGTTTTATTTCATATATATTTTGCCTTTAAAGAATTAAAAGAGGGGCACTCAGTGGCTCAGCTGGTTAAGCATCTGCCTGTGGCTCAGGTCATGATCCCAGGATCCCAGGGTTGGGCTCCCACGTTGGGCTCCCCTTAAAGGATACCCATGGAAGATGGAGTCCAAAAACAGTCCGTTTTGCCATTTTTTGCTCCTTTACTAGATGAATGAATAGGCAAGACTGGTCTTAATTCAAATCCCTGGATAATGAATGGTAAGGATGAAATAAAATAACCTCACTTAAATCTATTTAGTGTTTAGGAGAAAGTCCATAAATATTAGCTCCTTCTCATACACACACACACACACACACATACAAACATACAAATTTGCCAAATACAGGAACAAGAGAAGCAACATAAGGAGGAATTACACGAACTCTTTATCTCTCTAAAGGGGGCAGGACTCAGAAGTCCCACAATGAATGTGCAGCTGTGCCAGGAAATCATTGCAGAGAGTCCTTGGGGGGGGGGGTGTGCTTCTTTCTCTCCCCCTGCTGCTCCCCTGCTTGTGCTCCCTCTCATGCATGCTCCTTTCAAATAAATAAAATATTTTTTAAAAAAGACCTAAAAGAAAATTATCATAGTTACTGTATCCTCTACTTAAAGTTACTGCCACAATCTTTAGTTCTTCTCAAAGTGTGGTCAGCCAACTGCACCACTTCACAGTCATGTGGTGGGGTTCATGAAATGCAAGTTTCTGGATCCCGCCCCAGACAGACTGAAGCAGTAATCATTTGACAGTAACGTACAGGAAATGGCCGGTGTCTGTATTTTTTTTTTATTATTTTTTTTTCGGTGTCTGTATTTTTGAAGAGTACTCACTAATCTAGGTGCCATGTGTTTCACAACCCTGAAAGAATGCAATGTCCAAGTTGAAGCAAAATTTGACTCTCTTCTGAATTTAGTACAAATCCTGGTTTTGCTTTTATTTTAGGATTTCATTTTTGTTTTGTTTGATCAGGCCTGGGTCAAAGAGACATTGGTTACTTCAAGGACGACTTTTAAGTATTTTTATTCCTGATGTTACCATACTGTCAAAAGACACTAGAGGGCAGCATGAGGCCACAAAACCTGCCTTACAAGCCTGAGCTTGGGGCGGGGAACCTCTACAGGCTCCTCTTGTGCTAAAGCAGAATTTCTTTGTTTTCAGCCATCTGATACGCTTTAGGCCTCTATAATAATGCACACTTTTATCTACAACTCAGTGACATCAAATAGACAGGAATTTAGCGTAGAAATTTGCAAACTAGGGTCCATTTATCCCATTCCCCACCTTGAGTCCCCTGGAGACGGTCAGAAATGGGCAGGAACCTAGTGGTCTTTCTCAGAGAAGAGGAATTCCATGCAGGTGACCTTGTTCAAATTATCTTTCGTGACACTGCCGACTTCTCAGGGGGTTCTGTGTCTCTCCCTGCTGATACAGTTTTGCTTTCATCTTTATTTCCCAGCTGTTTGTGTTCTATTCCCTCTGGCTATTGTGTACAAGCTGCAACATGCAATGAAAAGAGAAGCATAAATTTGCTCTCTGCAATGATTTCCTGGCACAGCTGCACATTCATTGTGGGACTTCTGAGTCCTGCCCCCTTTAGAGAGATAAAGAGTTCGTGTAATTCCTCCTTATGTTGCTTCTCTTGTTCCTGTATTTGGCAAATTTGTATGTTTGTATGTGTGTGTGTATGAGAAGGAGCTAGTATTTATGGACTTTCTCCTAAACACTAAATAGATTTAAGTGAGGTTATTTTATTTCATCCTTACCATTCATTATCCAGGGATTTGAATTAAGACCAGTCTTGCCTATTCATTCATCTAGTAAAGGAGCAAAGATTGGCAAAACGGACTGTTTTTGGACTCCATCTTCCATGGGTATCCTTCTTTAAGGCATTACTTAAGCTTATTCTTTAGCAAACTGAGGATAATTTACTTGATGGGGGAAAAAAATAGATTTCTAGGGGTAGAGAATGCAGTGCCCTCAGGTGGCCACTTAACAAAGTACTTA